TAATAAACTAGATGCTTTATGGAAAGAGTTTGATGGTTTAACCAGTCTCACAGAGTATACTTATGAGGCTGCTGTTAAACTTAATGATCATGCTAAATTGATGAAACTCATGCAATTTCTTAGTGGTCTGGATAAGTCATATAATCAGGTTAAAAGTCATATACTTCTTATGGATCCTCTTCTTAATGTGAAAACTGATTTTTCTATAATATCTCGTGAAGAATCACTTCAAAGAAATGGGTCTCTGTCTAATGACTCTCAAACCATTTCCAAGAGTCATCCTAGTGCTTTTAACAGTAAATTCAACAATAGATTTTCTTCTGGTAATATTGGTAATAAAAGCAAAGGTCAAGTTGTACAGTATAAGAATTGTGGTTTAAAAGGGCATTGTATTGAAAAGTGTTATAAAATAATTGGTTATCCCAAAGATTTTAAACCCGGGAATGAAATAAATCAGAACAATCAAATTAAAAACTTCAATGCAAACTCATCTATTGTTCCCTCTGGATCATCTGAATCTGGAGAATCTGATTTTCATCAACTTACTAAGGATTAGTATGTCAAGTTTCTTAATCTGATTGGTGAAAAACAATGCAATGAAGAAGCATCTGTCAGTGCTAATATGGCGGGTACTTGTTTGTTTAATGCTTTTAATTCAACCTTTAATTGTTGATTCATGAGATAATTAACATATGACAGCTTCTGAATCTCTTTTATATGATACTGTGGATGTATCCAAACTTAATCTTCTTGTTAGTCATCCTAATGGAACTTGTGCTAAAATTGAAAAAAATTGGAAATTCGAATGTTTCTAGTTCCTTAACTTTTTTTGATGTTTTTGTTGTTCCTGAATTCAGTGTTAATTTATTTTCTGTTCACAAAGTTTGTAAAGATAGTAAGTGTGAAGTTGTGTTTAATGAACATACTTGTAAAATTCAGGATTTACAATCAAAGGAAATGGTGGGTTGGGGGTCTCTATAATGTAGATAGTGTACCTTCAGGTAATTCTTTTAGTGTTAACTCTGTTGTGTGTTATGTTTCTAAGTTAACATGGAATAGTAGGCTTGGTCATCCATCTGATCAAGCCTTGAATTCTTTAAAACCAAAGCTTAAATTTGGCAATGAGTCTTTACCACCTTGTAAAGTTTGCCATAAGGCCAAACAAACAAGGAATACTTTTACATTTAGTCAACATCAGACTTCGTGCTTAAGTGAACCAATTCATCTAGATATGTAGGGTCCTTATAGAGTGATCACTTCAGAAGGATTTAGGTTTTTTCTTACTATAGTGGATGATTTCACTAAGGCAACTTGGTTTTATTTATTCAAGTCTAAAAGTGAAGTTTTACGTGTGTTATTGCATTTTTTTTAATATTTTGTTTAATCAATTTGAAGTTAAAATTAAAAAGGTGAGGTCTGATAATGGCACTGAGTTCTTAAATCATAACATGAAGTCTTTTTTCATAAATAAAGGTGTTATTCATCAGACTTCATGTGTCCATACACCTCAACAAAATAGGGTTGTTGAGAGAAAACATAGACATATCTTGAATGTTGCAAGGTCCTTGATGTTTCAGCATGGGTTGTCTTTAAGGTTTTGGGGTGATGCTATTTTAACTTCAGTTTTCCTAATCAATAGAACGCCTACTTCATTTTTAAATGGAGCTTCACCTTATGAACTTGTGTATAAGTCTTTTCCTAATTTTGATAAACTTCGTGTTTTTGGGTGTATATGCTTTGCAACAAAACTGAATAATTTGGATAAATTTTCTGAACGTGTAGAAAAGTGTGTTTTACTTGGATATTCTTCTGAACAAAAGGGTTATAAAGTCTTATGTCCTTATTTAAATCTTGTTTTTGTTTACAGGGATGTGAAATTTTATGAGTCAGTGTTTCCTTTCAAGCTTAAGTCTTCTTTTGGAGATAAATCTAGTTTATTAACAAACCCAAGTGATCCATTTTCATTTGATGAGCCAGTAGTTTCTAGTTCTCTTCAAGAAAACATTAGTATAGATGATTTAGGAGTAATCCCTCAATCTGATGGTGCTGGAGTAGTCCACAATCAAGTCGAGACTCCTTCTAGTGAGGTTAGCAACCAGAGTAACGAGGCACATGTGCCTCAGATTGATCTGGATGTTCCTGTTTCATCTATTGTTGCTGAGGATAGTAATGTAGAACCAAATAATCCTTCTAATGATCACTTGTTAGGAGTCACTCGATCTGGTAGGAATGTATGTTTACCAACTAGATTTAATGATTTTGTTGTACAAAGTTCTCATAAATATGGTTTAGAAATTTCTGTGAATTATTCTTTTCTAACTAATGAAAATAGATGCTTTATATCTAACCTTAATAAACCTCTGAACCTAAAACTTATTTAGAAGCTTCTTCCGATCCTAGTTGGATCAAAGCTATGAATGAAGAAATGGAAGCATTATACAGAAATCATACTTGGGATATAGTTGATCTTCCTAAAGATAGAAAACCTATTGTTTGTCGTTGGATTTATAAGATTAAATATAAATCAAAAGTTGAGGTTCAGAGATATAAGTATTGACTAGTTGCTAAAGGGTATAGTAAAAAAGAATGTATAGATTATGAGGAGACTTTCTCTCCAGTTGCTTAGATTGTTACAATCAGAATTGTTATTTCTATTGTTAATAAGTCTTGGCCACTTTACCAACTTGATATTAATAATGCTTTTTTGTACGGTGATTTAATTAAAGATATTTATATGACTTCACCTCAAGGATATCATACTAAAAATGATAATATGGTATGTAAACTTATAAAATCTTTATATGGTTTAAACTGGCTCTACAAAAATTGAATGAAAAATTATGCTCTTCCTTGTCTGTTTTTGGTTTGGTTCAAAGTGTAAGTGATTATTCTTTGTTTGTTAGATCCAAAAATAACACTATTGTTATTTTGTTGGCTTATGTAGATGATATAATCTTGACTGGAAATTGCAATATAGAAATTGAAAATGTCAAATTATTTCTTAAGTCTTAGTTTAGAATAAAAGATTTAGGATTGTTAAAATATTTTTTGGGAATTGAAGTTTTACCTGTAACTAACAGTGTGTATTTAAATCAGAGAAAATATTGTTTGAACTTTTACATGAGTTTGGAATGTTGGGGTGTAAACCTGTTAAAACACCATTGGCGGTAAATTTTGTTTTTTGTAAAGATTATGATGATAATTCAGAATATGTTAGTAATATAACTGAGTTTCAAAAACTTATAGGAAAATTGATTTATCTTACTATGACTACACCAGATATAAGATATGCAGTTCAGGTTTTAAGTAAGTTTATGCATAAACCAAGAAAGTCACATCTAAATGTTGCTTTTAGACTGCTAAGATACTTAAAAGAGTGTCCTGGGAGAGGTATTGTGTTGTCTAAATCAAGTTCGTTTGATATTGTTGGTTATGTGGATGCTGATTGGGCTAAATGCTTATTAACCAGAAGGTTTGTATCAGGTTATTTGGTATATTTAGGCATTTCAGTTGTTTCTTGGAAAAGTAAGAAACAAAGAACTGTATCCAGGTCTTCAACTGAATCTGAATATCGTGCTTTGGGTTCTGTTACATGTGAGGTGTTGTGGATTTTAAAAGTTATGAATGATCTTGGTTTTAAAAGTTTAACTCCTGTTAAACTGTTTTGTGATAATGAATATGCCATAAAGTTAACTTTAAATCCAGTTTTTCATAAGAAAACAAAAGCATTTTGAAATAGATGTTCACTTCATTAGAGAAAAAAATTGAAAATGGAATTTTAAAAATTGTTAAGAGTGATTCATCTAATCAAAATACAAATATTTTAACTAGTTCTTTAACATTTTTGCAACATGATTTTTTGTCAAAAAGACTTGGTCTTTCAAATATGTTTGCAGCAAAGTAATGCGGTATTGTCTCAAATGATAAGTTTGAGAGGGGGTGTTAAAAGTATTATAATATTAGCAAACTTATCATTTGTGTAATTAAAATTATTGCACGGTATATTATGTTAAGTTATTATTTGTATAAGGGTTGTATCTACGTTATTGTATATGTAGATGGAATAAACATGTGCAAGTTATAAGTCTGAACCGGATCCATGGGTTATCCATGGGCTGTATCTTGCCCCAGGTATTTAATGTTCATCGGAGGGTCATTAGGTCATAACTCAAGATATTTCTTTGTGTGATATATTCTCTCGTTTGTTCTCTTGTTCTTCAGAAGAGGGTTTTCATATTAGGGTTTCTATAAAACACGATTGTGTGTAGTTTTGATTCCTTGTATCATATGAGAGTTTGAGTGTGATTGTAGTGAGGATTTTTGTTTGTATTCGTATGATGAAAACCAACTGTTTCATAGTGAATAAAATGCTGATGTTGGAAATGAGTTGTGTTCTTGAGTTCGTATTCTGAGTTTATACTTTGTTACATTTTGTTTTCTTATATATTAATAAATATTTAATAGTCTTAAAAAACAAATTACATAACGACAATATCTAAGTCAATACTCCAAAATATTGTCCCTTAAAAAACCATGTAATGGTTTTAGCTTTCAGAGTTCATAAATATATTAACAATCTGCCATTAAATGGAAGCTTACACGTTTTTTTTTACAACTGCAGATTTTCTAAACCAAACACGAAAGAACTTGAAAATATAGAGACCATTCGTATAATTTTGAATAACTGATTTAACGGAAATCTGTTAAAAAGTAATTTAATAGGTAGGTGCATTGTACATTTAATAATTTATTCCGTTAAAAAAAAATAGTGATCAAATCGAGCCATAGATATAAGTTTAATGGAGTATAGTGTTCCCTTTGGGAAAACTTGTAGCCAATATTTAATTGGGCCTTATATCAGAACCCATTACAAGAGGGCAGTAGTCCAAATATTGGCCCGTATTTCAATTTTCTTCGCATATTGCCGTTAACTGTTAAGTTCAACTCTCTGGACGACTGTACCCCGCCATTTTTGTCTGTCACGAAGCTCGCATTCATCAATGGAGTCTTCCTCCTCTTTTCGATTCATACCCCTCTTGATTCTTACCCACACTATGTTTTTCAATTTCAAACCAGTTGGAGTTGTCCATGTTCCCCAAGATCTTTATACTAGACCAGGAAATAGCTCTGATCTTTATACCAGATCAAGAAATAGTTCGATTTCTCCTCCTCCTCCACCACCACCACCGTCTCCATTTCTTCCCCCTCCGCCACCTCCACTGCCTCCTTCACCCGTTCCGGCGCTGTTCGTTATTGGTGACTCCTCTGTTGATTGTGGGACCAATAATTTTCTTGGAACATTTGCACGAGCAGATCGTCTTCCTTATGGACGTGACTTTGATACCCATCAACCCACCGGACGATTCTCCAACGGAAGAATCCCTGTCGATTATCTTGGTAATTAACTACTTTTTACTTAAATTTCATGTTAGCTGAGAATACGGTTGTTATTTGTTTCCATTTTGTTTTGCGTTTTGATGCTCTTATTATTCATTCAAGTTTTCTGTAACAGTAGACGAATCTGATTCATGTTTATCATAGCACGATCGTTGATTTTCTTGGATTATTTGTTTGGGAAAAAAATTGCGATTCCTGAATGTTTATACTTTTTCCTATCTCGGGTTTCAAGCTCTTAGAATTTTAAAAGATAATTGCAGATCAGGTGTTCGATGAAAAGCTTCACTGATTTACTTTCTTGAATAATCTTGTTTTTCTTCCCTATTGTGTCACATATATCAATTCACATCAAACAAAATTTATCATGTTTCTTGAAACTTTCTTGATCAAATACTATTTTTCTCATCTTCCCAAACAGCATTACATCTAGGCCTCCCATTTGTCCCAAGCTTCTTAGGTCAAAGTGGTTCTGTTAATGACATGAAACGCGGGTTGAATTATGCATCTGCTGGTGCTGGAATCATCTTCTCCAGTGGATCAGAACTGGTAAAAGTTTTGATCAATTTATGTATTCCAAGTTCCAATTTTTATAAATTTTCTGTCTTTTTGCTGTTTTGTTTTATACATAGATTCAAGAAAAATACTGTTTTATGATTTACAGGGTCAACACATATCTTTCACTCAGCAAATTCAACAGGTTATGGATACCTTCCAACGGTTCATACTAACAATGGGTGAGGCTGCAGCATCAAGTCTCATCACAAACTCCATTTTTTACATTTCAATCGGGACTAATGATTACATACATTACTATTTGCCCAATGTATCCGATGTACAATCCAAATACGTCTCATGGAAATTTACACAGTTTTTAGCCCAATCAATGAAACAAGAGATAAAGGTTACAACAACCCTCCATTCCATTTCTTACACAGAACAAAACAGGTTGTACTACATCTGATATGCGTTGGAGCAGGATCAAGACTAATGGCAATGACACAAAAATTATAACTTTTTGCCCACCCAAAAAAGGTGGAACAAGATGAGACATGGAATCGCTCTTGATCTCTCATTTGTACAAAAGACGTAAATACCCTTCTCAAATCATTAAAAATAGTTCACAAAGCTTGTGTAGCCCAGTCCTGTGTAAAAAATGCAGCCTTGGGCTGCATTTGTTATTTAGGATGGGACTGGGTAAGTTTTCTTTGAGATTATTTTCAATGATGAGGATGAGGAGGGTATTTATATCTTTTGTACTTATGAGAGATCAAGAGTGAATCCATATCCCATCTTATTCCACCTTTTTTGGGTGGGACAAAAAGTTATAATTTGTGTGTTATTGACATCAGTCTTGATCCCAGTCCAATGCGTGTCAGACGCAGTACAGTCTGTTTTGTTTCTGTTAAAGCTTCATGGTGATTAATGTTGTAGTTTGCGGTGTAGAATTTGTACAATGCGAAAGTGAGGCGAGTGGTGGTGATGGGACTAGCTCCAATCGGGTGTGCCCCATACTACCTATGGCAATACAACAGCACAAACGGGGAATGTGTGAAGGAGATAAACAACATGATAATGGAATTCAACTTTGTTCTAAGATACACAGTGGGAGAGCTTCGTAAAGAACTCAACAATTCCAATATCATCTTCTGCGACGCATATCTTGGTTCCATGGACATCATGAAGAATTTTGACCAATACGGTATAACAATTTTGACTCCAAAACTATTCGGAAATCAAAGATCTAAAAATCTAAATCTTGATAATTTTTGTTTTAGGGTTTAGCGTTATGAATTCTGCATGCTGTGGTTTAGGGCGATATAATGGTTGGATCATGTGTATATCACCTGGAATGGCTTGTGAGAATGCTTCAGATCATCTATGGTGGGATCAATTTCACCCCACATCTGCTGTGAATGAGATTTTAGCAGAGAATGTGTGGTCTGGATTGCATACGAAGATGTGTTATCCAATGAACATGATGGATATGGTAGCTCAAAGGGTTTTCACCCATTGACAAATACAGGAAATTGTGTAGGTGTTGTATGAAAATTCGATAATGTACATAGATTACATATCTCTAGAAATTAGTTTCATCAAGTGTAAATTTGGTTAGCATTGATATGAAAAAAGAAAAGTCAAAATCAATCTCAGAATTGTCAAACTCAAACACACCCCACAATATGCAAATTTACGTCTTTAGAATATTAACATCTCCTAAACAACAATTTCCAAAAAAGAAAATAAAAAAAGAAAGGGAAACATCTCTTCAAATTCCGATTCCGTTGCTATTTATCTAATTCCGTTGTGAGAAATGGAATGGAATTGAGTGAAAGATCAAGGCTTAACACGTTCCCTAATGAAGAGCTCCAAGGGTTGAATCTCACCAGTTAATGCAGAAGCCTCAGCAACAGTGACTTTGTTTACACATTGAGAGAATGAAAAGGGTTCCCCTGGGATTCCGAGTGTGAATTCATTAGATATATCCGCATCTGATACAGCTTTTCTTGATGTCCGAAGCTTATCACTGCAAAAGTCATTCAAGAATGTGAGTAAATTACTATTTTACCCTTTTCATTTACAACACAGACAAAACAAGTGTAAGATACATTTCTTTCTCCAGTTGTTTTCGGATGAACTCTTTTGTATGTGCAGTGACTTTATCCACCTTGTTGCAAAGGATAAGAAGTGGAATTTTCCTCTTGACAACACTCGATTTTGTTAAAATGTCATAGAGATACCTTTTTGCAAACAAAAATCAATATATGTTAAGATTAATATCCATAAAAAAACACATATGGGATTAAGTTATAAATCATAATTAAAAAAATAAATTACTCTGAAACAGCACGACAATTGGGCAAGAATTCCACTGCATCCACAACAAATACTAAGCCAGCTGCTCGAGGGACATATTCGTCCAATTTAGGGCGCAAACGTGAGTGGCCAGGAACATCAACAAGGTGAACTGCCTTAACCTTGCCTTTCTGAAAAACAACATATTACGAATTTGCCCTCGTTTAGGTTTGTTAAAGAGTAAAGAAAGTAGTTTGTTTACCTTGGAGGTTTCGGAATTGAGGACAAAAAGACCCTCATTGGGTTCCATTGATGTGACAGTGCCTTGATGAGAAGATCCATCACGAAGCTGTATCAAGATTTTGTTTTGTTAAAAAATAAAAGTTGTTGGCATCAATATGATTTGAATAAAATGTATCTTTGTGATTATTTATTTACCTGGTAAAAAAGAACAGTTTTCCCAGCTCCACTAAGCCCAGTGAGTACAATGGTGTTGGATATTGTATGCTTGAAAAGGCGTACTGCAAAGAGAATCAAGAAATGAGGTATATTTTATAAGGAATAACACTGTAGATGTGCAAAGAACTACTACATTATGTTAAAATTGAAATATCAATCATTGAAAAAGACTAGTTATAAGATTTTGTGTCTAATAACCTTTAAATACCTCAAACTTGCATGAATGAAGGAGAGATAAAGTGTAGATTTCCTAATGCTAAAGCTAATAAACATCATCAAGCACTTAAACGAACATGTGTAAAAACATTCAACAGTTTAATAGTAAAAACTAAGCAAAATATACTACAGGTGTTCGTATTTTGGAATAAGTATATCCAGACTAGAAAATTACTAGCAACGAAAACAATATGATGGAAGGAGAGAGTAGTGAAATTACTTAAGTAGATTAGAAAGGTAGTGATGAACACGGCTCCGACTGCAATATAGATCTGAATTGGAGGGATCTCACGAGCAAATTCTTCAACGCGACGAACATATTCCTCCCCTTGACGTAAAAATGGTTGCAATTGAGCTTTTACAAGCTCTAATCTGTCCACATCCATCACTACTTTACGCACAACAGCAAACTGATCCAAATTTTCAAAAATGATCAGCTAATCAAAACAAAATTGAAATTAACCTAGCATTACAAACAAAAATCCTATTTTGTAACGACGATTAAGAGATAGAGTAAAGAATCGTACCTTTAATTGACTAATCGAGTGCTCCGCCCAGACTCCAAACCCTAGGATTTTGACTGAAGCGTTCTTTTTGGCATTTTTTAACGGGTTTACTAATAATATAATTTTGATCGTCAAACAGATATCACTCTTTGAGTTTTTCTCGCTTGGAGCCCCTAAGGTTTTTTGAAATGTTATATTAAACCTTCAATATTCGTCTTTAGTTTGACTAAATTAGAGCCGGCAAAAATCGATCCAACCCACAAATTCAACCCAAACCCAACCCAAAATTAGCAGGTTGGGTTGAAATTTTCAACCCATTTAGGTTAAATGGGTCAACCCGTTAAACTCATTTAATTAAATAGGTTGGGTTGGGTAAAAGTTACCAACTCGTTTTCGATCCACCAACCTATTTAATATATATATATATATATATATATATATATATATATATATATATATATATATATATATATATATATATATATATATATACATAGAGAGAGAGAGAGAGACAAGATCAAATAAGAAGGAAATTTTTGGTAGGAAGGTAAGAAATTTTTTTTCTACATATTTTTTTCGCGAACAAACAAAATGAATCATTAGATGATTCATTTGTAAGATGATTCACAAGAAAAAATTGTCAAAAAAACATCACGATGATTCATTTATATAATAATTTTGTTGTTATTCACTCTTCAAAATCACTTCGAATTTACATATCTTTAACGTTATTTGAAAATTTTCTTATGTTTTTATTATACTTTGAAAGTTTATTTAAATTTGGAACTAATTTAAGTGGTGTAATCTTTAGTTATTTTATTTACTTTTTTATTTTAAATGGGTTTACCCATTTATATAATAAGTTGGATTAGGAATTACATAAACGGGTCAACCCGATGAAAACCCATTAATCTGAAAGGTTTTGTTGGGTTGAAAATATTCATTCATTTAAATAAAAAAATTGGGTTGGGTTGAAATATTCAACCAAATTAGTAAATAGATTGAACTTAAACCCAACCAAAATCGACCCATTACCAACTCTAGACTAAACTAGTAAAGTTATTCAAACTTAAAAATTTCACTGTTGTAATTTTAATGTTTGTTAAAAGTTAAAACTAAAAAGAAAATAGTTTATTTTAGTTTATGAACTAAGTTTTTTACTTTTTTATAAACTATTTTGAGATAGTTTTTTACAAATATTCCAAATATATATATATATATATATATATATATATATATATATATATATATATATATATATATATATATATATATATATATATATATATATTTCACTAATGTCATTTTATTTTGCAATATAACTTATAAGCTACTTTTTACCGAACACTATTAATTAATAAACTAGTTTATCAGCTATCAACTAACTTTTTAACTAGTTTGTCAAATATAGCCTTAAATTTGTTCAAGTTAAGCTTTATCATGTTTGAATTGAAGCCGGAACAAATGTGTTTAAGCGTGAAATTGCACATGTGGAGAATATGTTAACGCGGCCTTAAATAAAAGTTAAAAACTAAAAAAAATATTGATTAGAGAATAGTGATTCTTTGTGGCGACATAGTGATGACTTAATTCCTATAATGTTTTTCCTTTGATTCCGATGCCACAATTGATGATGGTGTTAGAAGTTAAAGATAATCAGAAAGAATGGGAGTGGGAATGGAAGAGTAAGAATCGACAGAAAGCTTTATCAAACATTGGAAGGGTTAGTAATCATGATCATGGAGGAATGAAAACCACGACACTAACTCGAAATTGTTAGAAAAGTTATCCTCTACCTTGTACATTACAAACATTCCTCTAAATATGGAATCTTGTGAATTATGGGTGTTGTGTGGGAAGGTGGGCCTTATGGCAAATCTATACATAGCCTAAAAAATGTCAAAGTTAGGAAAGCACTTTGGTTTTGTATGTTTTTAAAGGTAGAAGATGACAATTTTCTTATTTAAAAGTTGTCTGCATTATAAGTTGGAACTTGGATATCATCACATCTTTTAACTATTGGTAATATTTTACCGTGAGGTTAAAAATTATGCTTCAAAGGATGATAGATCAGTTAATAGTTGGTTGAGAAGAATGTAACAATGAGTTACAAGTGTAATCTAAAAAAGATGTATGCAAATGTGATCTTGTGCGGTAAAACATTTCATCCAAAACATATTGTTTGATTATTTTTTATGAAAATTTTATATAGGACATTATTTTATTTTATTTTATTATGGGAAGTGCATGCACAACTATTTTTTACCATACACTACAATTTATGTTTTATAAAGTTATACAATACAACATTTATAACACAAACTGTTGTGTATGGAGAAAATTTGTTATATACGAATCAACTTTCTTTTTTTATAGATCATTGAGTTTCATAAAAGCGTATGATACCAGTTAAAACACTCTTGATGACAAGTTGGCGTGTTCTTAATATAATTGAACTGCGATCGATGTTATTATAGCATATTATTAATCGACAACAATCCCATTGTTGTACTTGTGTGTAAGGAGAATAAATTAGCAACACTGATATGGATCATGATTAGAATTCGAAATCCACCGAGGCAATAGAATATTCAACGAATTTATGTCCTCATGCAAAAACAACAACTACCTTTAATTCTAAATAGGATGAGAATGAGATCATATAGGTAGACAGATTGAAATACAAATGAAGAAGAGGATGCCTCAAGGGAGTTTAGCCACCTTCAAAACCGAACTTGTGAGTTGTTTGAGCTTTTTGCCCCTTATGACCCCTAGCCTACTACCTACAGTCTTTCCCCTTACCCGACCCGATACCATCGCCCTTTCTTGTTAGCTGTTTTGTAGCACATTTGTTGTCCGTCGGATCATTCAACTTCAACAAGCTGTAAGCTCGAATGGTATCAAACCTAGATTAATAATTAACGAGTTTTGTGAAATAGAGTACAAATATGAATTGGGTTGTGCAATACCTTTGTGATGGGAAATGTGAGGTGGGTTTGGTATAAACTAATGCATTTCTAATGGAGTTTGATAATAAAGA